CAGGGATGAAGTTTTGTAAATCCAGCTTGACAACATCGCATCTGATTATAAAGAAAGAAAACAAACACATAAGCTTTTCCATTAAATTACGGGTTAGAATTGGGGATGACGAGGTTACTGATTGTTCTCCATTAACCACAACAACTGATCAAAAGTTCCTGGGCGTTCCACGTCACGCGGGAAATAGATGAATTCTAATAAAATAATGGGCCTGTGGGCGCTAAGACTTGACATCACCTACCGTGGGAAGGTGACGACGTCTTTTCAGTATTTGAATAAATATCACAGAGAGGTTATAGGCATTTCAAGACCCGCTTTCACCCCTAACCACTCCTTTGATATGACACGGCCATTACCTCTTTCTCTTCTGCTAACTTCTACATCTATCCAAGTCTCTGATGTATTGTACACCGCTGCCTTGATTGCAGTTCGTCCTTTGGCCTAATTGAACCGAACGAAAAAAAAAAAGCAGAATTAAACGAACAAAAAAAAAAGAAAACAGAAACAAAAAAACACACACACAGAGGAATCCAAGGTAAAGAATAAGTTTACCAACCTCTACCCGTTAGGGGAATTAATTTGCTGTAAACCGTTCAATTCAATAAAAATCGTTCATGACTCATTGCGCAAATAGCTGAAAATTTAAGAAGCCACCCCAACGCCCTTTATGTCCCTTGTCCCTTTGTTTTTATGAAAGCCTCTCTTTCTGATAAAGCCCTCCTCACTAAGCGTTCAGGGAGCAACCAGTTAACCTATTACACAAATGCTCCAGAAAAGGCTTTAAGAGACTACCATTACAACGAGAAGTTATCTAGGGAGGATATTTCCTTCTCCGCTTTACTTCCTGTTGAAAGAATATAAAGTAGCAGCCCTAGAGTTCGTTAATCTGAAAATACACAGATAAGACCACGTGACTACTAAAATAATGAATTATAACACAATAACAAGTAACAAGAAATATTAAATATGATAAATTACTGATTGATAAACTCACCAGCTGTGCTTGTTTCTCCCAGTCTGTTCTCCACAGCAGAATCACATATAAAGACGCCTAAAATACAACCATAATGGACTTGTTGGAGGAAGATAGATCCAAACTATTCCAAAGACACCAAAGGCCTTTGAGTAAAAAACTGAAAAGTAACTCAATGGCAGTCACCGGCTTACCTGAGTTAAGACGCCAATCCCTAAGCCTATCCAGAGACCTTCAAGCCAAACGACATCAGTAAGAACATATGGCAAACTTCACACGCTCCCACAAAGCAAAGCGGGCGCACACGACAAACGATCTTATGACTAAACCTTGGACATTCTCATATAGCGACGCGAGCGCACGCCAAAAGCACAAGCGAGAAGCGATATGAATGAATATCGCCTTCTAAGATGGTCCACTTATGTCACCGAATATGGCAAGAAAATACTGATTGTATTAGCCAAGCTAAGAACGAGCAGAGTACTGCTAAGACTACTAATTTAATCCAAACATAACATAAAAATCATCCTTTCACCGAAAACGGCGTTCAAAACGTTAGCATATTTGCCAAATTTGAACACTGATGGAGCAGTTTTCACTTCCCGCTTTACCTGTAATTTCATGGAAGACTAAAAACATCAATGTTATGCCACAAGGAAGCCCAATACAGCAATAGGCAACAAAATTGATCAGCACTCCTATTGTCTCGGC